TCAAACTGTTGCATTCTTTACTACTTCTTCCATTGTTGCGGTTCACAAATGTAAGCTTATCTTTCTGTTACATTCATTGTAATAATACCAAGAATGTTCCTGATTCTCCACACGCATGAGTGTCAATCCTCACAGTCCGTGAAAAAAAGAGGGTTTAGCAGCCTGATAAAATGTGAAAACGGCTCTTGTCTTCACATAATGTGGTAACAGAGTGGAGACTTGTGCATTTGGTGTTGAAAGCAGCCGAGACATCCAGCTGACAGATATTTGAAAGCGGCCTAATTTCGTTCAGATTCATGATGAGCTGAGTAGCATTAGATCATAGATGTGCAAACAGCAAAATTGGAGAATTAGACAGTCGCTGCTGTCGGCCATTATCCATTGTTGTAAGAATTGACAGCCTTACGATGCGAACATCCATTAGAGCAATTAGCTGCGCCACACAGGTGCCCTGCATTTCACTGTGAGACCTTCTATTAAAAGCCTCAAAATCTTCCTATTTTCCACACCCTTCCAACGAGAATTTGTATACCAAATGTAATATAAGCAGCGGGACAGAATTAAATAGAGCGTAAACTTAATTTCATGTTGCCACAATTCATTCGATTCATATGGGCTTAATAGTATTGTTCATTTTCCTGCATATTTAGGGGTGAAGTGTTTGTACCTGGTTATGTCTGGGGGGCATTAAGTCTGACTAATGAAATGACTCTATCCTCTGTGGCGTTTTAATCTATTCACTGCGAAAGTAATTGACAAGCCCACAGTATGTGCATTAGGATAGCTCCGGCATCAAAGGACAGCTGTCACTAAAGCAATTAAAATGACAAAGGTTAATTAATTCTCTCCAGTTTTTACCTGATATGAGACATTCACAATGAGTGAGTTTTCATTTCCAGAGGAGTAATAGTGTTTCGAAGAGAGTAATTTATTTGTGATTTAAAAAAAAAACAAAAAAAAAACACACCAGCCATTGTATGATAGAGATTTTAATATGTCAATACCTCACACAAAACTGTGCCCCAGGACAGCTTCAGCCCCAGATTTGAAATGAATTCTGCAGCATGGTCTGAAATGACAAATGGTTGTTGTTGTTGTTTGTTTTTTTTTTTTATGTAGGATACCTATTATGTCTTCTGTAGCAGCGCAAACAAAATGTGATTTGTTTATAAATGAGGCTTGTAAAAGATGTTTTACACCTAAACATCTGTAAGTGGGGGGAAAAAACGAACCTCTACATTTTCAGTGCCGTTGGGGGGGGTCAAGCGGAAGTAAAATAAGAAGCACATAATTACTATGCCAACCACCTCTGACACCACGAGAGCAGAACCCAAGAACTTTCTAATCCACCTAAATGTCAAAGCAACGTTCGCAGCCCTCCCTCCGTGTGAATCTCCACAGGCTGCCAAAAGGCCAGTGGTTAGTCATCTGTTTACTCCTGCAGCTGCTGGGTGTCATTGGGACTCTGAAGGAGAAATCCCATGATTCTCTCTGCCATTTCTGACAGCTCCCGCCCAGACCACATTAATCAGGGATTGTGGGCGAGCTAGGGGATAGACGGCAGGCATGGATGGCTCCGGCCCAGGACAACTGAACCGAGGGAGGAGATCTGGGCCCAAAGATAACTTAGACGTCCAAACACCGCCGGGTTGTAATGCTGTCGGTTTCATTCATACACACTGAGCTCGTTAAACGGACAGTTTCTCTGAGGAAATGGCTAGTTTTTCTTGTTGCCGGGTAAAATGGTGCTTTGAAATTAACATAATTTAAGAATCGTTGGCTTTAAAGAGGAGTTAAATGAATCCAACCTCTCCCACTTGTGCAAATTAGTCTCCAAGAAAGAGATTTGCCGCTTAATTTTGGTTATTAGATATTTGAGATCGGTTTGAATTTAATTTCTGAAAAGCTATATTTCCTACGTTTTAATTATAAAACTCTACTGTCTACATCCTCTCTGTTTAATCAGTTGTATTGAAGGTACAATCAGTGATCTGAAAGTTAACAAAAGATTAGCCCTAGTGCTAGAAGCCAAAACATAAAATTGGAACATTGAAGTCACTCCCAAAATGACTGACAGATGTTTTAATAACGGGACTAATACTTGACTTAACAACTAAATCTAAGTTATTAATATTTCCAGTTGCTAAAGATTGTTATAAATCAGCAGTTCTTAAATACAGGGGTAAAGCAGCCCAATATTTGCAATCACTAGTATATTAAACACACAGAATGCATATTTTTCATCCTTTGTCAAACTCTTAAACCTGAATTAATTGATTTGTTTGGGGGCAGCGCAGCAAACTGTCAACACAACACAGACAAATTATCGCCTCATAAAGTTGATACGTGTTAGATTCTTATTTACACTTCCAGCAGACACGGAGAAACGTTAGTATTCATTTGGAGCCGCGTTTCTGGCCACCTGGCAAATGGAAGTCGGATATTCACGCTCCTTTGCTTTGCACCAACTCCTGAGGGAAACATCTGTCTCTTTAGCTGCTAAATACTCCACTACGTTCATCAGCTAGTCAGCAACTTCAGGAGCTGGGCAGGTAGCGTACAGTAGATTTATCAGAGGCGTTTCGTTCGGAAGGGCCGTAAAAAAAACTAAAACAATGAGCTAAAGGATGTTACAACGCTCCGTAGAGCTGAGGGGAAATCTGTGGGTCCGTCACAGCAAGCGGTACGGTACCTTTCACATTAGACATCAATTAAGTGTTAAAATATTGATCAGTGGAGCTTTAAGTTATATTTGTGAATACATATGTAATTCATATGGTCATTATTAAAGCGTACACAACATGATACATTGCAATCTACCCTCAGACGACATCAGTTAGGGAACAGATCCATCTCTCAGTGGCTCTCACACCAAACACTTTTGTGCCAGGCTGTTTACACTTGTAAGATTATGTGCATAATGAGGTTGCATTGTCTCGGCAAAGTGCTGCTTTAATTCTCTGAAGCCGAACAAACTGTCCCTGGCACATTTGTATAGGGGTGGAGAGATATCAAAGTCACTTTATTGAGATGAAAGGACTGGCCCAAACAGCAATCTGAGACATTAGTCATTCCTTCTTCTCAGTGACAGAAACATGCTCTCAATTTACGAGTCAGGTGCTTCCAGTGATTTCTGCCAGCCTTGTTCCTCCACATCATAAATTCCTCTTTATGCTCACTCATCCCACAGGCAGACCCCTATTCTTTGGCCTGCCTTGTCACAAAATACACCCCATGTTGGCATATTGGATGTCGTCCAGGCTGCCATTAGCAGTTACTGTGTCGCATATACCACAGCGTACACTGTGAAAGAGCACTGAATTTAAATAGACAGCAGTGATTGCACCCCTAGGTGCACATTTGTACTTTTTTTTTACAGGTTTTCTATCAGCACTTTAATTCATTCTTTCTATGGTGTTGACTCTGCAGAGCTCCCACTTACACTGTGTTCATTTCCTCTAAATGCTTCACGTGGAGCCACTGGCTCCCAATTTATGTAATGAAGGTTTAATAGCCAATTGGAACATCCAATATCATTAACAGCCAGTGTTAGTCTCATCCAGATCTTTTTTTTATTTATTTTTTTGATAACCAGAAGTGCGAACATTTGATAGGTGGAATGTGTGATTAGCACCTGCTGTTTTTATATACGTCCTGTCTCCTCTGGAGCAAGAAACCACATTTTTACCACATCTCACATTTTTTTAGTTTGTTCTGTTTCAGCCTTTGTTAAAAGAACTTTAAAGAACATCCTTTATATGACTTCCATGTGTACCTGCTTGTTCTAATATGTATTTCTTAAAAATTTTCAAACACTTTTACTCTCACTTTTTCCTCATTATTAGCACTTTTCTATATAAATGATTATTCCAGTGTGTACAGATAGTTATTTTTGGACACTGCGGGGGCACTTTGGCTCTGACACGTCTTACTACAGGCTGCTTGTCATATTAGTGACGCAGGGGTTGAAATGTATTATACTGGACTTGTTGTAAGTCATAAAAGTAAGATGTCTAAAATGGAAATGCAGGACTGAGAAAACAGCAGAATTAGAGCACAGTTATGTTTGATTTGTTTTTAAGGCGCAGTGCAGTAAATGATCCTCTGTATCTCTGTCAACTTGTGTCTTCTGCAAGTTTTATTTATTTATTGCAACATTTACTTGCGTATGTTTGATCTGATCTGAGCCCTCCATTGGTGTCATTTACTGTGTGATATTCATGGCCTTAAAACTGCTAACACAACACAGAATTGAAATAGAAGCACTTTTCTTTTTTTTTTTTTTACTTTTTCTCCCGTGACTTGATGAAGATTATTTCTGACAGCTGCAATAACATGAAAATATAGATGGACGTTATTCAGTTGTTTACCACATTCGGTTCATGCATGGACATGGACGAGATTCCAACAACAATATCAGAGAGTATATTCACTCTAACAATCACACTGCAGAAAACAACACCACTCAAAATATGTTTGCTTTTTCCATTATGTCCTCTAATGCATACTGACAGATTCTTCTTATTTGCATTGACATTTACGTGTTTGCGATGATTACCAGAGACTGATTGGAAAAGACAGAAAGCATGATTGAGACGGAAATACACTATCAACATAAACAACTAAATTAGCAGGAGAAAACATTAATAAAATTGTTTTCTGGTCTTTGTGTGGAATCCACAATATTTACATAAATACAATCAGCATATTTTTTACGGTTGGCTTGAGAATTTCCTTTCAATGTAAGCAGCTATGCATATAATATGAGTATTGCAAGCCTATAAATGCTTCCCTAAATGCTCTCATAATGACCTCAGGGTAGGTCTGTTCATTGGAGCAATATCAGTCTCGCGACAAGGATATGTTAGCTGTATTAATGCCTGTCAACAATCTCAAGTGTCTTGACTCCATTTTCATTCAAATAATCTGACTCCGCTCAGGACCCGAAGCTCGTCTCTGCGTCCTTTTTTTTTTTTTTTTTCCCATGTCTGGTTATGCGATCACCCGGTGGGGAGGTAGGGGGTGTCACTGTGGTAGTTGTAATCTGGACACACCTTCTGCACCAGCTTGTAGTCGGTGCTGTAGAAGGTGATGAAGATGCAGATGACTTTAAAGGGCTTGGAGCACAACCAGGACACGTGGCTCTGGGTCTGCTCCTGCGGGCAGCTCTGCGAGGGGTCGTGGGCACACAGTGAGTTCCTGGTGCCCTTCTCCACCTTCTCGTACTCCACCCTGCAGTTGAACAGTTTGGTGTCCTTGGTCTCCAGAGCCGTCTGCTGCTGCTGCTGCTGCTGCTGGTGGTGATGGTGGTGGTACTGCTGGTGCTGCTGGTGGACCTGGAACTCCACAGCTTTTGTCGGTGGAACGAGGCCCACGGACACGTTGCCCTGACCAGTTGAGTTGTGGCGGAAGTAGACGCTGAATGTCCCGTTGCCGTGATCCACGATTTTACCGGTAATGAGAAGGTTGAGCTTCACCGTCTTGATGTTGGAATGGAAGTCGCCCCAACCGAACATCTTCTTGAACTTGCCGGTCTTGACAATGGGCCTCCTTTTTGTCCTGGATCGAGGATCGCGGGGGTTTGAAGTGTTGTAAAGCCAGTTCCACTGCTCCCGTTTAGTGTACGAGTCTGCGTCGTCATAGTTCAGATCCAGAGAGGTGAAGTTCTCTTTGCCATAGAGGGTCTGGGACAGCAGGCGGCTGATGGAGAAGGCCTTGCTGCTTTCAGTCCAGTAGGTCTTCACTTTGGGTTTTGAGCTCGCTCTCAAGTCTGAATTTCCTGAATTTGGTGAATCAGCACTGGTAACCTGGAAGAACAAACAAAGAATTACCATTAGTGAAAAATTTTAACTGGAAAGCACTCAAAAAGAGCATACCTTTGACAAGGCTGAACAAAATGTCCTTAACATTTCTCTAAATAAAAAAAATAATAAAAAAAAACATTGTTATGAAATGTCTATCTGCCTCTGGACTTCATCAAACATCAAAATACATGTGGTGACAGACAGGGCATAGACAAATTATGTCAGGGAATATTAAAGCTTTGTATGATTATGAGTCAGACCACTGAATTAAACCGTCTTCCCAAGAAAACGAAAAGAAATTCTATCATGTTAGAAGATAAGAATAATAAGACAGGAAATAGTCTGTTATTAATGAAGTGGTCATTATTTTAAATGCGATAAGGGCCCCATAACCTTGAACAAAATACTACTTTTAACTTAAACTGCAATGTTTCCTTAACCCTTAACCCTACTTAACTAAGTCATTTTTGTAACTAAACCTTACCAAATCTTAACAGTTGGGTTATCAGATTATAAAAGGCACAACTAATTGTGAAATGCCATCAAATTTAGCATGTGATTTAGAGAGTTATGGCAGTTTATCTCAGATCTTTCAAGAATTTGGCAATAAATTGTAGGAATAATATATGGGACATTTTTTAATGGTTATCTAACAATTTTATGTAGCTAATTTGTTGAAAATCAGGTTCAAGTTGTTGAAGTGCAAATATTTAAAAGTCTAAATGTTGGAGTGGGGGGGGGGTATATTGAAAGGTTTATTAAATTTAATTAATTAAAACAAATTAAAAATCTCTCAACAAAATCCATTAATCCTCTACAAAGTTTCAGATTCTGCAGCCTTGATGGACCAGATCAGTATTTCTTGGAACTACATAGAATTTCACAATTTACAAATTACATCCATTGCCAATGTTCAGTTCCAATGCAGGAATCCACATGGTCTATATTTAGTGAGCTTGTTAGCATGTCTGACTTGTTGCACTCCAACAATTAATGTTAGCAATCTTTCCATAACTTTAACTTTCCTGTACTTGCCGTGCAAGAATTTAAAAAATGTTTTCATTGAATGTAATCCAGGTTTTTGCCGAATCGTCCAATGTCAACATTCGCATGCATGCTGAGTGCCTCATGGTTAAAATCTGATGTCATGTTTGTAGGAAATCCTGCTAACTAACAAACAGACAATCAGGATCACATCCAATCTCCTTTATAGCAGTAAGAAAACACTACAACAAATACAGATGATTAATCCACCCACAAGCATGTCAACACCTATAACAAACGGTGTTAACGCTGTAACCGACTCTTACAGTGTGAAATGTCTTGTGCGGAGCGTCCTAATCAAGATTAAGGGTATTCCTGCCATACAGCGAGATGAATGAAGCGCTTCTCGAGTGCAGACGTGATGCAACAGCAGACTATTACCTGCTGAATGTGGCCTGAATGGATGATTGATGATTCATTCTGTGTCTCTCCTCTAACAATCACACAGATGAGAGACCGAAGATTCCCCGTGCACCCCGCAGAGGCCCGTGACAGTGATGTCCAAACCCCGGCCGAGGAACGTGACAGCAGATCTATCTGGTCGAAGCGTTTACATTTTGTACCTTCACCCCGCGATCGATACTACTGAAAATAAGGTCTTCTCTAATTCAGAAAGTTCACTGAATGACATTGTAGTACTGTAGGCCAGAGTGTGTGCGGAGTTATCACAAAGTAAACTGTTGAAGGAGTTGTGATCTTCCTCTGAAGTACACGTTCATTTTGTGAACTTGGCATCAGAGTGGAGGAGTTTGAAAAGATGGCCTCCAGTTGTTTTGAAGAGGCGTCGATGATGAATGACCTGATGTGGATGAACCGTTAGTGGCATTGTGGAGACTTTGGCTTAGAAGCTGCTACATCTTTCTCCCTCTCTGAATAGAGGAATGTAGCCTGAGCGTTTTTTTTTAAATGCAACATGATACACAGATTCAAATCAAAGCCTTTCAAACCCAAAAACATTTGGAGTTCGCCAAATCTTTGCAACCGAATGGTTTAACAAAAGAAAAGAGGAAGCTGCAGGACCTTCAAAGCAGAATGTTTGTGGTGACGAGCTGAAGAGAAATATGAATTTCAGCAGTTTCCTTGCGCAGTGGGGCAGTTAAACCGTATTAATGAACACCTTTTCTCTTCCATTGCTGGAAACAAAAGTCTGTCATGTTTCCTCACTGGTGATGTATTGTAAAAAGATAAAGTGAGTGTGAGGATGAGGGAGGCTTCCTGTTCAGGATTTATTGGCACCATTATAATCAAACATAAAGCTCCTTAGGATGTAAAAGTAGCAGTGAAACAGTATCTTATAGTCTGTCAGGCAAGCAGCTATAAAGTCTTTTATTTTGATGTTACAGTTCAGTCTTTAGTCTTGGGTTTAACAGTATTTAAGATTTCAGCTCGTTTCAGGTGTTAAAAGTGAAAATAATGTACAATACATGTTGTATGTTACAAGGTCAAAAACAATGTTAAGGAAAAGCTAGTGAACTTCTTTTAAAAATGCATGTACAGGTTTTGGTTAAATGGATTTCTAACACTTGATCCCTCGCGAGTTTAAACGTGAATTCACTTTGCTGTAATCATAAGTAAATAAACTGTCTGTAAATGACCCTTGACCCATAATGCAAACTGCAAGCCCCATTTATTTTTCATGAATATTTCTATTCTGAGTTGTGAAAAGACTGTAGTCTCTAATGATCAAATGAAATCTCATTTTCATAGTGCAGTAATTACTGATGTTTCTCAGTAACTGGGTTTCGGTCTCAATGGAGTCCTGAAACCAGATCAAGGGATATTAGGGAACTGCTTTCAGCTGGTTTAAGTGACTGTCAGGCAAATTAGTGACAGTGTTCGTGTGGATGCAACATTTTAACGTGAAGATGGAGAGAATATTTCCAAAACAATGCAGATCTAAGCAGGTTTAGGACTCAGATGGGTTAAGTTTAAGCATTTTGTCAGCCAAGAAATTAGATTTCCTTCGACAGTGTGTTTTTAAAAAGCACCATCATTTTCTACAACTTCATGTTATGAATAATTTTGTAAGAGGGGGTGTCGCTGGAATCATTTTTTATTTTTTTTTGAAAGGGGATTTCTTCACTATTTTCTTCTAAGATTATCAAAATTACAACAGCACATCCTCAAGTGTGTGCCCAGTCATCGTCAGACCTAAGTCCTTGTTGTGGAGACTCGCTCTGTTGTCACCGGTGTTATGTATGGTCCCCAAACTGTGACATGCAATTAGCTTTCATCTAAAGCACCTGACAGTCTCTGGATTAGAGCACTCAGAGGCACATTCACAGAGACCCCACTTCACGGATTAGAGCCCAACCTGTAATCCAGCCCGGGGAGATTAGGCAGATCAGAGGCAGTCCTGACTAAAGCAACGTTTATATCCAGAACACCCCGACTGACTGCACCAACACTCGGAGGGCCAAGATTTACCTCTCGCTGGCTTCAAAAACATGCAAGCCAGGCACAAAGAGTGAGTGTGTGTGTGTGTGTGTTAGATGCATGAATGTGTCTGAAAGAGATACTGCAGGGAGAAAAGAGGGAAAGCGCTGTCGGATAAAGGACAGAAGAAAAACAAACATGGCAGCTAAAGGTCAACAGTCACACTTTGGGTTTAACAGATATTGGTTTGTCAATATTGGATTTTTATTAAATATCAAATAAAGGACAAACTTTATTATCCAGTGAAATTTACTTTGCACTTAATTTGCTTTATTTGTGATATATTTTATAATTAAATTCTTGATTTCAGTAGTTCAGTATTCCTTAAAAGCAGTACTTTCTTTTGACCATTCACTGCAGGTTGCAAATGTCTACAAATCAGTCTTATTTAAATATTTTTAAGGAGCAGAAAAGATAAAACTATCCAGTATTTTACATGAAAAATGCGAAGATTAGAGAAAAATCTGACAAATTATTGAAATCGACGTAGCCGAACATTTTGTTTTGTCTTTCCAATCCCATTAATCAACTCGCGTCTTTTCTTTAGACTTACAGGATATTCACCCAATAAATGGTTTGAATAGGAAATGAAGTACAAACTTGCAGTGGGCCAGAATTAATATTAACGCTATAAACTGGGAGATAACGTATATCATGTTCTTAGCGAGACATAAATAATCCAAAATGGAAAATTATCTTTCATGGAAAAAATAGCAACCCTCTGTTTATCTGTGATGTTATCATGCAGCTGTGTTTTAAAGGTTTCGAGACGTACTAACGTTGTAGGTTTGGGTCTTTTCATGGGATTTGATAACTAGGAAAAATATAGAATTTCTTTGGCTTTATCCTTTTGAAATAAGGCTTCGAGCTAGTTTGAAGAGTGGGCTTTAATAGGAACATATGGCTGCCTATCTGGAAAAAAGGTTTACACAAATTCTGCAGTAGTGAAGGCTAGAATGAGCTAGAATGAGCACTTATTGAATCCTTTTAAAGACCCGCTGGTCTGGTTTGGGTTTCACAGGAGAAAAATTCTTGCGTCAGGTTTTGACCGATTTCCTCAATCAGCTTCATAATTCAAGTCATTGGGTCATTTCACATGATAGCTTTTTACTTATATTCTTTTCTCAGTGGGTTGGAAAACAGTGATGTCATGTATTTCTGTGCACCAATAAGACTTAAGCAACGTTTGAATCAAAACTGTTTCCAGACCACCGTCAATCAAATCCAACCAAACCACACCCACATAGTCTGGATGTAGCAGATTAGCTGAGTAAGCTAGTAAGGATATTTAGTCTGAACTTCAATTTTGATTGTTGCACATTCAGATATTTTTTTCAATATTTAATGTTATGGAGAAATATTTGAAACCAAATGTTCAGGAGTTTTAAAGATAATACGATAATATAATAATAATAGATAATAAGTAAAATATGTCATGGTTCCGTATTGCCACAGTAACATACAGGGATGATGAGAGGTAAAAATCAAAGCAGTAGAAGCCGAAATATCTATATTATATATAGTATAATGGGTAGTAGTATCAGTCCAGCTCCTACATTTCCCATAATTGAAACAAAAGCGTCTTTACTCTCTTCCTTTATGGCAAATCTCTATTAAACTCCATCTGTACAGTTTGTAACAACGGGTATAAATCTGTGGATTGACTGCTTTATACAATAAAATGCATTAACAGAAAGTCATATGGGTCAAAGCCTTGTGCAAATGCAATAGTATAAAAAATGTTTGCAGTATATATTGAATATAGTGTTTTCATTTAAAGATTCAAACGTATCTCTCAATCATATTTAGAGGCTTTCATTTCATGGCTCAGAGTTTTTCCAACTTTTTGACCTGCAGTTTGTTATGCAGGAGTTTCCCGCCCCCCAAAACCCCATTTAACTGTCTGTTAATATTATTCCCAGGGTCGGTGTATGAGGCAGAATCCCTCTACAAGATAACACAAACAGCATCGGTATGCAGAAGTCCTTTAGGAAACGACTCTCAGATTGCGAGATGCAGCATATAGGCAGGCTGTTGGACAAACCTAAATGCTATCTACTCTTGGCGAGGCTGTGATAAGGCGCAGGCGTCCGCTCTTTGAAACAGGAAGATAAACAACCCCCGGCTTCCCTCGGGAGCTCGGAGGATATTCTATAGGCTGGACCCACCGAACAGCCAACAAATTCCACCTTTAATAGAACCACCGGAGGAGCCAGATGACTCTGCGGTGGGCTGTACACAAAACCTTGCGAGGAAGAATGAAAGTGTGTGTCAGTTTTCATTTACCTGAATGTTGCGGCCGCTGTGTGGGGAGGATTTGTGAGTGCGACAGTTCTAGTTTAACAGAGTTAGAATGGAGAGGGACGAGGCTGATAGCAGATTTCAGCTGCCACTTTGCAATCTTGATTGGATGGCGTGTGTTCAGAGTTCAGCTGTAACATTCAGAAATTAATAGAGTTCTTGTCCTTTTTTAATGTTTTTTTGTGCTTGAAACAGCACACTGCAAAAGTTTTTTGTGGATTTATTTACTTTAACTTTACTTTAAATTTAAGGTTATTAAAGTGATGCTCTTATCCAGAGAGGATTAAGAGCGCGAGGAGATATTAGGGGTTAGAGTTTGGCTCAAGGACATGTGGCTGTTGTGGCATCAAACCTGTGACCTTTCGGGGTATGAGAACTAACGTCTCGCTCCACCACTCCCAGCATAAGCTTATTTTAATCTAATTTATAACTTTTAGATGCCATGAATCTCAAGTACTTCTACCATAACAGTCTTAGCAAGAGGAGTTTAAGAAGAAATGTATTGGTTTATGAAAAATCGGCTTCAATTTAGAGCCACTTTTCTGTCTGAAAGAAACCTTCCTCGAGATAGGAAGCTAGTTTAAGAGTCCTTACTGCATTGATGCCGTCTTTTGGAGTATTTTCCAACTGGGCACTTGGGATATGATCATGGTCATATTCATTTACAGTGAATCTCACTTGTCTCGCCTTGTGAGGTCCCCCCTCGTAGTCGAGCTGATGGATCAACTAAGGGCATTTGACGCCCACCAAGAGTTTAGGTCTATATTCTCCCAGTGATATCAAAGTGTTACCTGAGGGGGGTCAGAGATGATGACAAATCACAAAGTGTGTCAAGACATCACAGGCAGCTTGTGGATGGAGCCGAGTCCTATCGCTGCAGCACCGCTTTGAGAGGCCAGGGCACAATTATTACCATGACTTCTGAGGAGGATAAATACTGTACGCGGACAGACTGCGGGATATTAGAGCGGGGCAGTTTGAAGAAGAAGG